CACGGGAACAACCGCCTTACTAAGCTTGCTGCCAGAATGTTGTCAGCAGCAAATCACCTTGGATCAAGTCGCACTTTACAATTTAGTTGGATCCCTTCGCACAGTGGCATCAAAGGAAACGAAACAGCGGACAAACTGGCTAAAATGGGCAGCAGATCTTCGTGTCATTACTCATTCGACAGAATTCCTCAATCCACATTGAAGAATCGCCTTCGGGCCTTTGCCGAGGCCCTTTGGCAACAAGAGTGGTCTTCTGCTAATACGGGAAGAAACTGCTTTGAATTTATCCCGAATATCCTCACTAGGAAGAACGCCAAGCACTACACTCCAGAAGCGGACACTTCTCAAATCCTAACCGGTCATGGTAACTTTCCTGTCTACCTTCACCGGTTCGGGAAAGCTAACAACAGCAACTGTACGTGCTCAACACAATCCATCGGAGACGCGCTACACCTAGCGTTCCATTGCCCTAACTTCGACCACCTACGGCTAGGACTAATCACCAACTGCCTAAAGAAAGGACTAACTTGGCCACCCGAACCAGCAGACTTATTTCAGGACAGAGAACTCTGGAAAGACTTTACCAACTTCCTCAGCAGGACCAAAGCCCTCATCTCCTACCCACAACAGAACGCCAGCGTACCTGAAGAACACTTCAGTGGACGTACAGAATCCAGTGCGACAGATCAAACTTTGTCGCTGACCGATACTTTTGCTTAAATGTTGTCCTCTATGTTTATTCACACGCAAAATTAATTGCTTCATTCTCCTTGCCTTCTTAGCCACGACCTGTTATTTTTAACTTACATCACTTGTTTTTACTCTGTTACGGTTCGAAAACCTTTCATCACGCGAAACTGTGTTCGGTTTTCCCCCACGCTTATGTACAGTACCTTAAAGTTCTTTCTCAGCTTAAATCATTGTTTAACCGCGATCTCTTTAATTACTGTTTGTATCAGGTTGTCTCTATCACAGTTCTTCGCCTCAGATTTATTTTGTACGCGCGGACTGTGACTGTCTTCGGTGACTACCTTTAGGTAACAACGTTCTCCCCTATTATGTACCGAGCGAAGTTATAGACAACCTATAACACGTTTTAAAGTCCGCTCTACCACTGTCTCTCCGGACTCTTGCAATTACCATGCTTATAGTGTTTTACAATATTTCTGTATATAGCGGCCTCTTGCGGCCTCATCTCTGTGTTAAATGAATTGTCGGGATTATATTGTTTTCAACACTGCGTTGTTGATATTGTAACATAATACGTATTTATCTATCATTTGCGATGCGGTCGCTCTAAGGCCCACCCACCTTCTCCTTAACCCACTTAACTTTCTACCTTATTCCTTTTCTTCTATCTACTATCCTCTAAAAATACTCTCAACATCTTCATTTTTACAACTTAATCCTTTACTTCATAACTTTCTATTCTATGAGGCTAAGTCTAATTCAATAATAGACAGCCTCCTTAATTCTGTAATAATAAATAAATAAATGGATGAATAATATGAACTTAGATAAAACACAGAAACTTCGACACACAGTTCAAAGCTCTGGAGCTTGATGACAGGTGTAGTTTCCAGGAAAGAAGTTGAAGACTCCTCTTGCTGCTTGGGGGTGCATCCTTCATTAGCTATACCCTGGTATTCCTAACATATCTTGGGTTGCAACCTAATGACCTTAACCGGTTTACCCAAGATATCTCATTTCAGTATCGTTATGTTTTTGAAACTACATGTCGCTAGTCATAATAATTTTTATATTAAAACTCTGTTATTTCAAAATTCTGTTGAGTGTCATTTTGATCCTATGTCTAGGACTCCTCCATTGACTAATTCAGCACACCTGGGTTTGCTTATAGGGAAATAACATTTGCCAAGTAACCCTCTTCCCAAGATGTCTAGATATTTATGAATACAAATTTAAAAATTTCTTTAATTACATAATTATAATAAGAAAACAAATTTTTGATACATTTACAATAATCTTTAAAACCAGCTTACTTATATAACTTACTTATTTAAAGTTAACATTTTCAGTCATTTTTATTGGCCATCTTCAGGCTAAGTAAAACAAGATCATCATTTAATCATAGATTTGGCTGGAAACTGGAATATGTTGGGGCCATTGTCCATTCCCATTACAAGAGATTAAAGGAGCACAGATACAAATATAAACATCAGCGAAACCCGATGCATAGCAAAACGACACCCACAACTGCTGTAAATAATCAGGCTATAATTTGGAAATATTAATTAAGAATTAATTAATATTTTCAAATTATAGCCTGATTATTTACAGCAGTTGCAGAGGAGCACAGATCCATAATAACTAAATCCAACCCTGCACTGTTCTATCAGCTTATGCTTTGAAACAAGAAATGGAAATTCCAAAATTATTAAACTAGAACAGGAAATCTATCAACTAAAATCTCTAGAAGAGCTTGAAACTTATAAATTGGCACGTAAGGGCAAATTGGCAAATTTCAATGACATCAAGACAGTCTCCCTTGCCTGGAGATCATGATTTGAAGACCATGAAAACACTAAGTGGAACTCTTAAGTCGAAAAGTATTTTGTCTGTGATCGAAGTTCAAAGCAACCGCACTACCACTAAAAATGATTTTTTGCAAATACGCACAACTAGGCTAGATCAATGTCATGACAAAGCCAGAATTTTGAAATTCAACCTATGGGCTGAGATATAACAGGTCATATTTTGTCATGTAAACCCTATGGGTGGGCATGTTGCCAGATGTAAGCTCATCGCATGCTATGTGTTAAGAAAACTACAGTTATTTCTTTGATAATGTGATTGTAAAAATGCCACGACATTGTTCAAGCCACAACCAATGATAATAGTATTTGAAAAGTTTTAAAACAATTGTAATTTGAACTTTTCTTCTTGAACTGTCATTCTTTAATTCACTATTATTGATTTCAAAGTTATTCTTGTTCTACTTATCCTGAAGATGACCAATAAAACTGACTGAAAATGTTCACTTAAATAAGTACAATCGTTGCTGTTTTAAAAGTTCATTGTGTATGTTATATAAATTTCTATAAACAAAATTTAAAATTTTATATAACTCTGTAAGTGAATATATTAGTCAGTTAAGAAGCATTGTTGTTATAATTTAAGACATGTAGACATTTTCATTTTACATACCTTTCAAATGCATTTAGAGATTCTCTAAATAATCCTTGTCTTTCAAATAACAATCCCAATATATTAAAAGCTATGGGACAATTTTTGTTATTTTCTGAAATAAATTAATTTAATTTAATAATATTTATTCAAAAAATAAATTAGAATGTATTTAACAATATAATGTTATCATTATTACCTGTATATTTAATCATGCAATCCAAAGCAACACTTATAGCATTCATATCTATGATGTTTTCTTTATACCACTGACTGTTACGATTTATTTTCTCTTTCAGGGCTTCACAAACCCAATGACCATATCCAAGCAAACCTTCAGGCTGCATAATAAATATTAAAGAAAAATTTATTTATATTACTTTTAAAATGATATTCATTTTGTACCATTAACAGAGACTTAAAAACCAATATTTCTTCCTCTCTTCCCTGAACCTGTTACCAGTGCTTAATGCATATAAGAAATATACAGTGGATGACCTGAGGAAGAACTGCGAGATAGTTCAAAAATGTTTGTCACCCGCTGTATATTTCTTATACGCATTACGCACTGGTAACAGGTTCAGAGAAGAGAGGATTTTACTCCAGTGCTGAAGTCAGAGTGAATTTTGTTCAATATTTCTTATATTAAGATGTAAAAAATAGTTATTCAAAACAACTAATAAAGTGACAATAATGTAAACTCACGTGATTTCCAATTGTGGTAGTATGTCGAAACAGATCAGTCGTTTGATTGTGTTTGACGGCTTCGGCAATAAGGGCCTGCCCAATCCAACAAACGGAATAGGAAGGATCTGATTTTTGTGCAATACTGAAAGCTTTATGTGCTAGCTATGCAGAAGTAAAATATATAAAACTATTAAAATATAAAAAATAATTTATTTGAGTTGTTATAATTTAAAATGTTAATTAAATGAGTACCATGCAAAAGTGTATGTTTTAAAAATGAAAAGACTACTTTGTATAAAGATTTATTACACCCATGATTAACTAGTAGCTTGGCTAGGCCCCTAGGGTAACAGTTATTATTATTATATACAGTTTTTTATAATTTAAATACATCAATAAAGTTTTAATATCATACGTGAAATGTACCAAAAAAATTAACACATTTTACAGTTCCGAAAACCAAAAAAAGTTTGATAACCACCAATTTAATGTATTGAATACAACTGAACCAAAAAAGGAGACAAAAAATTATGCAATAATAGGTATTAGTTTAACATAACACTGCCTAAAAACATTTAAAAGAATAATAAAAAGATTAAAGCATTAAATTGAAACTAAGTCACAAGAACAACATGCATTTAGATCAAACAGATCTACAACTGACCTCATCTATGTCTTAAGAAGCACAATGGAGAGAGTTTGATAATTTAATACAAATTTAAATACATAACATTTATAGTCCTAGAAAAGTCAAATATTGAATATAGAAAGAATGTAGAAAATTGGAATACCAGAAAATTATATTAATGTAGTCAAAAATATATATATATATTTATTTATANCGGAAACATGGCATATCTCACAAAACTACAAAAAATGAGTTAACAAATTTAGATTTGTGCATCATCATCTAAGAAACTTTCACAATTGCAAGTCCCATTGGTTCTACAATCAGTTACAATTTCCAACATATCCAACATATGTTGGATATGTTGGAAATTGTAACTGATTGTAGAACCAATGGGACTTGCAATTGTGAAAGTTTCTTAGATGATGATGCACAAATCTAAATTTGTTAACTCATTTTTTGTAGTTTTGTGAGATATGCCATGTTTCCGTTGTGCCCCTCAATTATTAAAAACATATATTTTAATATGGTTATATGACAAGACATTTACCTACACCATTTAGAGACATTGTGCTAATTTTTTAACTGCATAATTTATACAGTTGAACCTGTCTTTCTCAAAAACCAGTTTATTTCAAATAATTTTCTTCAAAATCCTCTTTATCTCAAATTACGAACTGAAGTTGCATTAATAACCAAAGTAAACATTAATAAAACATTGCATATTTAAGTGCTATTGAATTAAAACCCAAATTCTCCTCTTTCTCAAAACTTCCTAATTTGGGCTATACCATTTTTTTCACCAAACCTCCTTTAGTAAAAATACAAATAAGTTTATAATACCTTTTTATCCATTATGATAATTTTATTAGCAAATTGTCTTTGTTATAGTTTTTAGAAGTTTAATAGTTTATTACATCATTTCACACAATAACAATATTATCATCTAATTTTTACTTTTAGTAAAATAAGCAAAATCAATAAAAAAGTAACAATCTTTAGTCCCATGAAATGTAAGTCTGTAGTTGTGTGACCATATAACAAGCTGTACAGTTTAATTATGGGCAATTTTGGCCAATCTGAACAAATTAATTGTGTATCTCCGGTATAGAAAATTGCAAAAAGTTGTAAATTTCACAGATGGGAAATTGATAAAATATTTAATTTATGAAAGTTTGTGCCAATTCTCATATTACAACCATTAGAAGAAAATGTCTAGCATTTGAAATCCAAATTCAATTTTTAAACTATAGTAATGTCATATACACTTTACTATTTAAGTAAACTGAACATTTTCTCACCCTATTAATCATAGTACACACTTAACTGGATGTTCCTCAGAAACAGAGCTATAAGAGACTTAATTACATATAAACAACACAATCATAATCATTATTCATCAAATAATAAACCTTAAAAATCCAGCAATCACAAACTACTTAATAACATTTTTAGTCTTATCGAAAGACCTGGTTCGAATGCTCATTAATACTTATTAAAGGTATTTCGATAAGAACAAAAATGTTAGTGTGATTAAATAGTTTGTGATTGCTGCATTTTTAAGGTATTTTTATTTGATCAATGAATATCCAGTTATTGATGAGAAGTTAATATTAATCATCATTCATCTTTATATTTGTTATATTTATATCATTTTGTATGTTTCAAGAAGAAACTAAAGTTACTTGAGAAAACTAAAGTTCAAGGAAAAATGTTTTCAGACCTTACACAAATTTTAAATCTCATATGCTTTGGAAACATCACTTGTATCCTGTATACTGTACATTTTGAATGATACCATAGGCCAAAGTTGGTTCAAATGCAAGTCCAAAAATGTTTCTACACTTAAACTTTCCTTAAATAATTGTATTATCTTTTTGAAACACGCAAAATTTGGTTGAGATTTATCCAATAGTTCTTTATATAAAAAACTCCAAACACCTACTCTTTAATTATGATCATGTATATTTAAACTTTATATTACAAAGTTTCATATTAATAAGGCTTTAATTTTTTTCCATATTTTAAAGAAGAAAAACTATATACAAAAACATTTAAAATTAAAATCTCTCTTTCTTCTCACAATTAAATGTAGATTTCTGTAGCATAGAGATTAAAAAAATTATCAATGTTTTAATATAATACCTGAACTTCATTATGAAGAAGATATAAGACTCCCAAATTAGTCCACGCTGCTGCATTCTATAAAAAATTGTGTTAAAATAATTTATACTATCTCTTTTAATGTATAATTCTTTTATTCTTTTAATTTATACTATCTCTTTTGTAAACAATTAATTACTACATTTTGATGATAAATTAAAATTTTTCAAAATTGAGTAATACAAAATATTAATCACTTACGTCATTTTCATATTCTATTGCTTTAATAAAAGAATGCTGAGAAAGGCTGTAATCCATTAATTCTACATACATAAATAATATGGTAAAATTAGAATTTTACTTATTCCAAATTTAAATTATATATAAATTTATTCCTACCATTGCATGCTGCGATAATTCCTAACGTGTTCCAGTACATACTCTTATTTGGACTCATACTTATGGCTTTTTCTAAACAAAGCAGAGATTTTTCTGCTAACTTTTTCTTCTCATTAAGGACTTTTGATTGATGATAATAATTAATTCCTAAATCATGCCATATACTACTAATTTCTGGATGAAGTGCTAATGCTTGTCCATAAAATCTATTAAAAAAATATAGCTTTGAATACTTTTGAAAATATTTTTTACTTTTTCTTTGTATTATACTATTTGAATCTATTTTGAAATTTTGGCAAGGCTGTTTTGACAACCATTTCGGCATACAGATAACATTAGGACACAGACATTACGTCATCATCATTTGAATATTATGGCAATGAAGAATACCAAGTTTAACAATTTTCTATCTAGCTGAACTTCTTTTTACTACTGTTGATAGAAATTTTTTATCTTTTGTTTGATACAAAACTTCTGGCTACAGTAGAACCTCGAAAACTCGGCCTAATGTGGACCGAAGGGTGGCCGAGTTTGTGAAAATGCCGGGTTATCGGGAATGGGGTTAAAAAAATANATCAAAAGCAAAAGTAGAGATAAACTGTTTTAAGTTAGATATGCATCTATAGTTACAATAATTAATTAATTAAAATGTCTATTGATCTTAGCAATAGTTGTGCAAATTGTGTAAAAATAAAAATGGATAAGATAAAATAAAACTTATAACATTTATTTGTATTAACTATTTTAACATTAAAAAACTAATTTTATTGTTTTTGCATCAATATATGTGGTGTCTGCCTTATCCATCTTGTTTTAAAATTTGGTAATAACTACCAGTAGTATAATTTGATGTAATCATTGTCAAAAATTTCCCTTATTGTCAGAGTAGCTTTTTTGAAAAACTTTTCATGTTCAAGGATAAAAACAATTTGTTATCAAACAACAACTACAATGAAATTTAGTATTACACTAAAAACTGGAAAATATTTATATTACTTAAACAATATAAACATCTTACCATCTTCAATCTATCTCCTTAGAGAATGCCATAAACCAACGTACTCTCCAACTTTTGGAATGAGAAAATAACTTCAAAATGACTCAAATTAGTTTTATGGTATTTTTTTTTATTTCATCAGAAAATACATAAGAGTAAATATTATAGAATTGCCAAGACTAGAGTTGTTGATAGCAGAAAATATGCAAAGTATAGATGTACAAGGCTATGTAAATGAGGCAGGCATAACTTGTAACATCATTATAGCAAAAGTATATAAATTGGCGAGCTCAGTAATGAAGTCGAGGAGGAATTTCCCTAGTCTTGCGAGATATTTCGTGTAGTGTTGTCAGATCTTACATTTTTCCTCTAAGCTTTACTTTTTTTCATGCCTTTTATGACTTATGTTTTTCTTTTGCCCCTAAGACAATGTCTTTGTTCTTTTTTGTTTTCCTTTTGCATCCATACACATTAAAAGATTTTATTTTACAACTCTCGGAATGTTGTGATTACAACTAGAACATCCTAAGTTTGAAAATGCTGTCAATATATATTAAAATTACAAAAATTTGTTAACCTCGATGAGCTGTTTGATGAATTTTGAGAGTGTAGGAGTGTTTAATATAAAATGTTTAAATTATCAAGACAGTGATGTTGATAAGTGGCTATAGTTTTTTCTAAAGTTTCTAAGAAAAGTGTTACAAACATGAAGTCATAGGGTTTTCTAAGTATTCCATGCTCTATCTCAACCTTTATAGAAAGAGTTTTTGAGTAATGAAGAATAAATTGACATATGTCAGAAACAGGAGCCATCCAGAGCTGATTACAGTGAAACTACAGATTGTATACAATTTCCCTTTCACTTATAAACAATTTTACCAATTTGAAAAATAGAATGAAAAATTATTAAGAGCAGCTAAATCAGAAGAAAAATATTAGGAGTAAATATCATGGAAGTTAATGTAAACAATGTTCTATACAATGTAATAAAATGTTTTATTTGTGGTAAAAAAAAAATCTTTTTTTTTTTGTGAATGGTTGTCTCTTTAATCCGGCAAATTTTTTCGATAGACTATCTTACAGCATCAGGTTAATGAATTCTTTTATTAAAATTTTTACAATTATGTAAAAATTTAATAAAAGAATTCATTAACCTGATGCTGTAAGATAGTCTATCGAAAGAATTTGTCGGATTAAAGAGATAACCATTCACAAACGAATATACAGCTTTAACCAGTAAATTCAACTTCCTTTTTTTTCTGAAAAAATCTGACAACCCTAGTTTGGTAAGAGTTCTTTACTGAAGGAATTGTTGGATCTTTGCTTGACTGATTTGCATTTAATTTATTTGGTGGCAACTGCTGTCTCATAATAATAAACCATTGTTGATCTAATTAATTATCAACATCATTATTACTATTATTATTATTACTATTAATCTCATTACAATTATTACTACTTTTGAATTAGTGACATTTATGTTGTGGTGTTTTGCAGTGGCACCTAGGAAAAAGAGTTATATGCTTTGCTTACAAATGAAACTAATGCTATTATTGAGTGTTGCCTGTGAATAACAATAACTTATTTGATCCTAGTGTAAAGTTATAGAGGTAGAAATTAGATTACTTTTTTGTTTGAATGACACAATGAATTTTATGGAATGTCAAGTTATCAAGAGTTGATTTTCATGGACTCTACTGTAATCCTTTTTTGTACTCATTATTTCTAGTAACTGCCATTTTTCTGTAGCACAATTGGATTTCTTTTTTACACAGCATGGCTAGATCTGCCTACAGACCTTATCATAAGGTCTAGTTGAGGAATTGGAGTCATAGTGCTTAAGAAAATAAGACTAAGCCTTACACATGTACCAAAGTTTCAGCTTTTCTATAATAACATAACATTCAAAAAGATTGCTATGCCAAATTCAGTATGATTGGCTGTAACAGCCTTATCAAAATGTTCCATTCAGTTGATATTTTACATTACATTTTTATGTAGAAACTATAGGAAAAAATCTAAGAACTTGTTAAAAAAATCCTAGTAGAAGACAACCTTAAAGTTTTATAAATTTCAGCAAAATATTTAATGACTTGAAGAACAATTTTGGCCAAAATCATAGGCCAAAAATGTTCGTCAAGTCATTATATATTTTGCTGGAATTTATTAAACTTTGTATTGACCTATTTTCCAGTTTCTTAGTTTTTAATTAGTAAGTAAACATCACAGATCAGTGATGCCCAAACTTCTTGATTAACAGGCCAAATTGCTAATTATAGGTAGGTGGGCTAGAAATATATACTAAAAGTAGGCATATCTCTATAATTTATAAATGGTGTGTCAAATATGTTTGCAGGCTAGATTTAATGTGTGCTGCAGGTCAGATTTGGCCCAGGGGGCCATGGTTTAGGTGCCACTGCCTAGATAACTGGGAATAAGTACCTAAATCTTCAGAAATGATTAGGAGTGAAAAAAAAAATATATATATATACAGCAGTTTTCTTCTTCCAGTATATTATAAATTAAAATTTATAAACATCATCCAAACCCGATATATAAAGCTACATACCAACAGACTGCCGAAAATCTATTAAAATTTATATATTTCTAATTATTAAATTTACTATGAGATGATGGCATAACTGGTCAAACTGATTTATATCTAATTATTTACTAGCCATTTAATAGCCCAATAATAATTTAGCAGTTCAATTTGAAACTACAGTGATTAACATAGTTAATATTTTTCTCTGAAAATTCATTATGTTCAAGTGGAATTAAAAAACAAAGTAAAATAATTCTACAATATTATATGTGGGCACTCTGATCGTCACAGCTGTTGATTGTTGATTGAAGCCACCAATTCATCATAGATGATTAAAGGATTTAAAATTTCATTTTCTGGATATAACATCTCTATATTAGGTATATTAGTTAACTAATTTGTAATTGAGAATTCTGGTAGTCAATTTCTCTCCACTGCCAAAGTTTGTCTAATTACTAATAGATGAAGAATACTAAATTATATTGGATTAATATGAATAATATTAAGCTTATTATATTATTGTTACTAATTTCCGGAATAGAACCAAATCCCGGTCCTTTGCAGAAATCTCCGATAAGAGAGGAAGACCATCACTAAATTGGCAGAAATTACACACTGTAAGGAACCAAGTCCGAGCATTATTTTTATTTACTTTTATTTTGCTTTTTATATTTTGTTTGGGGCTTATGTTTTGTTAGGATGAAGGTTTCCTCACCATTCACCTTAGAAAATTAAAAATAGAAGAGAAACCAAGTCACCAACGAGAGAAAAGCACCGTAGAAAAAAATTCGCGCACACGTGCGCTCCCGAGCGGAAAAAAGTAGGTCTGCACCAAGAAAAAGGGGGGGAGAAGACCCCACAAGCACAACTTAAATTCGCTAAACCTTAAAAGAATAAAACATCCCGAAAATTGTAAAAAAGAATAATGTAAAAGGTTAGCGAGTATTGTCGGAAAATAGGCTGCCAGACAAATAGAAAAAGTTTATTGTTAGCAAATAAGTATGTAAATGAGGGGAGTGATCGCATTCAGAATTGTGACGTCACCTCACAGTATAAAGTCCGAACGTCAAGTGAAGATGAAGGAGGTGAACTCCAGATAGCAACGAGCTTGGTGAGTTTCGTAGCAGTGAACGAAAGAGAGGTGTCCGATAGGATCAAATAGTTCCAAGGCGATTTTGAAGTTATTCGATTTGTGGATCGACGAATAGAGAAAGTCTTGAGAGTTGAGGAAATAGGTTCCTAGTATATTGAGGTGACGATTAGGATCTTTAATTCATAAGAATTATTGTATATAAGTTAAGTCTTTAAATTTTGTCGAATTCCAAAGGGGAATAGATTTATGTTAGAAACTAGATTGATTTGAGTTTTGTCGGGTTGATTCTTATTGATTTTCATTGAATAAATTGTTGTTTGATTTTCACTAAACTTTGTTTATAGTTTATTACTAGAAATTTATTAAATATTTGATTTGTTATTGACAAACTTTGTCATTATTTAATTTCAGTGCACGCTAAAAGTCCAGGCCTGGCAAGTTAACGCAAATCCGCGTAAAGTACCCGTTAGGTAACGGCTATTTCCGGCACACAGTCGTGTCAATAATCGTTGTAGAGGGCGGAAAAATAATATAGTACTTTACAACACTAATAATATCAAATCATTGGAGCCAGA